GTTGATTACTTACATGAAGACAATTATTTTTTTTGTCACAAATTTAATAATATTGCATGTTTAAATATACAAATGAGAAAATACCTGATCAATTTGCATTAAAGTCCAATAGACAAAGTGCAGCAAAAAAAAAAAAGACCGAAATGTGTATTTCTGATGTTTTCTTTCCGCTAACAGAAGACAACAAGAAGAGCGTCCCAAAATCTTCAAATTGAAAAGTGCATAAAGTTTTTCCCTCTCGTGTCTCGTCTTCATTGATCATTCTTATTTGATTTTGTAAGTAGTGACTCTATCTGATGAATGATTTTATAAATAAACTTTTAAAGTAGCTCCAAAATTTACCCTCAAGTCCGGTGACCCTGAGCGACCGAACTCCTGCGAAGGAAACATGAAGGCATTTTCCAAATCTTGACTTTCCTTAAAGTCAGTTTTTATTTCCCGTCCTTACCGAGGCTGTGATCAGAAGCACACGTGAATTTTGTCAGCATTAAAACAACAACCGCTCAAACTTCCATCATTACACAACAGACCTATTGTTAATCTTTCTCATAATTGTTTTTAATACTCATTTTTCATCTGCTGCATTCTCCGTGTCCCGGCTAAATGTAATTATATAATCACAATGGAAAAGATTAACTTCAGGGAGCGTGTCGGGTGACACCGCTCTGTTGTGATATTGTGTTGTCAGAAAAAACAGCACACGATTCCCAACATGTAAGATAACACATTTTCCACACAAGAAAACAAAGACAGTAAAATTAAAAGGTGCTTTGGACTATTTAAAAACCAACAGAGCAATTTAAACATTAGTTTAAGTGATGTTTGAGTTTAAAAGGTACATTTATATTTGAAAGAAAGTTATTTAGATGATGGTTTCATTCCTCTTTCCAGATTTCTGACTCACCCCTTCTGCTGATGAAGAACCCGGACATCTCCATGATGGATATTAAACTTCTACATCTCCTCTGACTTCGCAGGGTGACGGCGAGACAAAGACGGGTCAGCAGATGACGGACGGAGAGAGGACCGAAGACAAAGTGATGATGCTGATGATGAATGCAGTCAGCTGTGTTAGTAATCCTCTAATCCTCTCCAATCACCAAATGCTTCCTCTCATCCACTAAACTCTGTCCTGCAGCTCATCTGATGTTTTCAGCGTGTTTCCGTCTGTCTCCCTCCCTCTCATTTCCTGTTAATGCCACCAGGAAGCCTTGGCGTCCCTCCGACTTTGATATTATATAAAGACTGTTAACATTCGGATGTGTGCAGTTTTAGACAATGAGAGCCAGATGGGCAGACACAGGACACAAGCAAGCAGAACCACAACTGATATTCCCACCCGGATTCACACACACGGATTGATTGAAGCATCAGTAGTTTTTAATTAAAAGCCACATTAAGAGCTGAGCAAAGCATGTATTTACTACTGGGCCCAAGCAGCAACCTCTTGGACTGAAAAATGGAGCCAACACATAAGTGCAAAGAAACTGCAGTTCCTCAAAAAGCCAATTGAGGCTGGCTCTAAAAGTGGCATCGTGCAAAAAAGCTGATTGCACACTTCTGGATGAAGCTCTATTGCACAGTTCAAAGCTGCTTTTATTTGGATCAAACAGTCATAATGTGCAAATACACCGAACTTAATGTAGTTTTGTCACAAATATGTGCTTAAGAAATGGTTGCAGTTACGTATTCAGGTCTGATCATGGGCAGTACCATAGAATTGTTTAATATGCATGTGTGTTATGTCCAGCATCCCTGTTTAGACTATGATTTACGGATGGTTTAACAGATAAAATTAAAAAATATATATCTCTTTTCCAATTTTTCTATGGCCTAAATTTAAATGAAACTTTATGGCAAGTGGAGAACTCTATTATATGAGTTTTTAAAAAATCCAAACAAACAATTGAGGTTACAGAGGAGGTAAAATAACGCAAACACATGAGGATGAACTTTCCAGTTTGTGCCACAGCAGAGGAGGCACGTACGTCTGCGTCATGACGTTCCCGGAAACGTCATAGAATGCGGAAGTAGCATTTGTTGTGGACAGTGCGCTTCGCATGGCCACTGGTTAGTAACGGAAGTAAAAAATGTGGAATGAGGCGACTCTGTGTTTTCGCTGTAATGCTCGGTGCAGCGGCAGGTGTTGTTAAATCACCGTGTGATGCTGCCGAAGAACCGCAAAGACGTTTGGAGACGTGACTGACTCTGTCCTGCTAACGGCTAACAGCTAGCAGAAGAAGGTACGTGGTTGGAAGTTTGAGCGCATAGCTGCATTAATAACCACGTGACTACTATGTTAAATATTATATGTGTATATATATATGACTCTACTACTATAACCTACGATTATTAAAATATCTTACCCATATTACTATATATTCGTAGCCGGTTTTCCATTGTTTACCCAGTGACCTACGAGCTACCTTATCTGTAGTTCGCTAAACTTTATTGAATCAGGTGTTTAACAAACTTCATTCAAACAAGTCGCGTGTATTCAGTTTACCTTAATGAAAGCGGAAGTTACATTCTTTAAACCATTTTTCAAATTGACACAGCATTAATAAAGTAGGATTAAACAGGAACAATCTAACAAATAAAAATACCACATAAAATGTACATTGTTGAGTGTCGGACTGTTAAGAAAGACTACTTTTCTATCAATTAGTCAGTGCACTTAGTCTAAAGCTCGATGCACACGAACCCCCAGTCATCTTTAGTCACGGTAGGATAAGCCCAGATTACTCAAGCACCTATTTATTGGGACTTTGAAGGTTATTTAAATGGGAGTGTTAAAGTAGCAGGCCGATGACCTTTAGTGTGTTTAGCAGCTCCAAAGACAGAACGTTTAAAAAAGCATCCCTGTGAATACACAGTCAGCACTTCTGGTGGATTTGACTTATTTTGGAAGTGAATCTTTCAGAATAAAACCTGTTGAGGTGCTTGTTTACTGCACTAGTGCTGCTGCTGCTGCGTGTCATCAAACCCTCGCAGTGTTTAAACCACCTGTTTGTTCTGTGATAATGTTAAAGGACTCCCACTTTCATTCAGAAGCAAGTCAAACTCTGCTGCAATCGAGTTGAGTGTGCCAGATGTTGTAGCGCAATAATTACATAAAGATCAGCTGAAGACATTTGTTAAAATGAACGGAAGCCTTGTAGACAAATATTAGAAAACAATGGGATATTGAAGATGACGTAAGCGCAGTCCAATCGTAGCAGCCACCATTTAGTGACAGTCAGTGATGGTTGAAGGTCTGTGTTGTGGACCCCAACATGTCGCTGACTTCTAAAGACATCCGGGGCAAAAATATATATATATGCCTGTTAAATGGTTCACTGACAACTTTTCACAAAGCGCATACTCATTCTAGCAGTAAAGAAAAAAATTACCTGCGTGTCAGTTCAATCATTCAGACAAGATCCAACTTAATTTATTGCTCAAGCACTTGCTGACATTAATCAAATGAATTATTGATCATTAATCAAATGTCAGCAAGGGCTTCAAGCTTGCCTGACTTGCCTTTACACACGCGACGCACTACAGACGAGTTCTGTTATTACAGGAGATAAACACCTGTATTAAAGCAACTGCTGAAAACAAGTCATTAACCAAGCCATTGTCCTGATGAGCTTTTGGACTGTTTCTATTCTTAGACGACTGATCCTCTGCTCATCAAATGGAACATCCATCACAATCAAGTCTGTTTACCAAAAATAAGTCGAGGATACGTGAAACATTAACAAATTGAATAATGTGTTTATGTGAAGCTAGAAAAGATAAAAAAGCTCCTTGTACTTACTTTCCACGCCGTGACTCCGCATGAGGTCCCCTCTGACTGATGCTTTCACATGAGCAGCAGTTGATGCCTCACTGCCTCATTAAAGTCCTGTTTAGTGGAGAGTTAATGAATTATTAAACATAACCTTCACCTAATATCAGTGGGCCCGGGTCACGGCGCTGCACATCCTCAGTGCTTTAGTCTGAGCTCCAAATGGATCAAGCTTGAGTTTCATTTGTGGAGCGAGTGCCCAGACAATGTAGCTGCAGATACAAAAGAAAGTGAAATCAACACGAGTTACGTGTGATCTGAATGAAGCCAAAGCCCTTTACAATCAGCATCTACATTCATTATTACCTCCCTGCTGCAGATCTTTGTCAGCTCGGCGCCAAATCGCAGTCCTTCAGTTCGAGTTTATGTTAGGTATCTCCTGTTGAGTTGCCAGAGAAAAGTCACGAGGTAAAAGTGTTACCACAGGTTTGGTGAAAACAACTTGTTCAGGCCAGTCTTGCTCCACCAAACCTCTTGCTTTTCCACAAATTTTCTTTACGACTGTGGCGAGAAATAGTAACAAAAGAGACATCATGATTAACATCGACAAAACACTGCAGGTCCATAAGTAGCTAAAGAAGAACGTGCCGATACTTCAGGAGCAGGTTTCATAGTGGAGCTGCAGGGGTTAACTGGAGAGGTGGCAGAGGCCTGAACACTGCAGTGAGATCAGACGTTTTACGAGGTGACTTCAGGTTTAATTCTGGGTTTTCAGGACGACAACGCTGGTTCACTTCTTACTGGGGTACGTCACTGATGGAAGATC